TTGGAACAGTTCCACCAATTATAATACCTAGCCTCCTAGATCCCTTTACAAGCCCCCAAAATTTTTTACACAAAAACTCGCCAAGCCTCACAACAGTCCTGTGAGGTAGGTAAGTATTATTACACCCATTTTATAGATGGGGAAAGCTGAGCCCCGAGAAGATGCATGGCCCACGTCTTAGTCAGCAGTAGACCCAGGAGTGCAGAGGATGACATTTTTCCTCTCGCCACCCTGTGTGCCCGGGCCTGCTCTCATGTGTACCTTTCCTCAGTAAGGGGAACCCAAGACACTGCCTGACCAAATGTAGACGCTAAGTAGGAAGAAAGCAGTTTTGCATGATGGCAGCTATAAAAAGTTTTCCAAATGGCTAGTGGCTCTGGTCTGTCTATTCCCAAAGCCGGGAAAATCTGAACCTGAGCCTAGGGTTACTTCTAGGTGGGGAAGGACAAGTGGGACAGAGGCAGACAAGAGTATGAACCTGTGAGCACATCAGGTTGGGCAGGGGCCACAGGCCATAGCCATGGCACTCTGCAGGTGCTGTTCCTCAATCTCCCCCCGTCTCCACCCTTGGGGAAGCTTGCTGCTATTTTATAGCAGGGAGAGTCCTGAGGTCCCCATACACTCTGGGAAAAGGGGCCCAGAGAACAGTATCTCCAAAATTCTATGAGAGTGAGGGAGTGAGAACGGATGGTGAAGAACCTGCCTTATCACATCTCCATGCCAACGCTCACTTCCCCATTCCAACCCCCACCCCCCGGGACAATACGATGGGACTTCCATCAGGAGGGCCCACTTCCAAGACCAGTACATCCCTTGTCATGGGCCCCCATAGGAGCACTTGACAGATGTCTCCAAGACTCAGTCACTGGCCAAGGGGCCATTGGTGACACAACTCCAACGCCCTGGTCTCCTGCATAACCCTGGGTGGGGCTGTTCCCTCACCAGTGCCCCACCAGAGTTGGCTGCTATGTATGGGCTGGAGGGAGGGTATGAGCTAGGACCTGGGAGCTAAGGCACGGTCTAGCCCCACACATAGAGGTATGCAAACCAGTTCTTGGAAAAGCAAAGGAAAACTGTGGGCATTTTCTCCCTACTTCTCCCCAACCAGGGGGTGGGAGAGGGGGTAGCACAACTGAGCAGGAAGCAGCCAGAAAACCCAAGGGCCCTTTCATCCAAAGGAAGAGGATCCCTGAGGTGAAGGCAAGCCCTTGACCCAGGGTTGGAGATGAACAACGCTGAGTCAGGGGAGAAGGTGTGGTGGCGGGGCATGGGAGGAGCAAGTCAACGGGAGAGGAGGGTTTGAGGGTGCAAAAAAGATAACGCCACCTGTTGCTTCAGAAAAAGAGCAGGGCAGAGCCAGGCTTGGGAGTTCCCAGGAGTGGCGATGGTCCTGCCATACCAGGGAGAAGGGGTGGCCAGCATTGGCAGGGCTGAGATGGGCATTCCAGTGGCTAACAAACCCAGGACACTGGTTCTTCCATATCTGCAGTCCTGAAATGCTAGGGAAGGCATATACAGCGCCTCAGTGCTCCAGGAAGGCTTGAGGGGCCCCTTCATGAGCTCCTCAGTAACCCAGAGATAAGAGGAATAGGCTAGGTGGACCAAGACCAAAGCGGCCAGCCCTAGTTAGAAGGGTTCAGAGACTCAGAGCAGCAGGGGTTGGGGGAGCAGGGGTTGTGGGCCCAAGGCAATCAGGTACCCTGAGGTGAGGGGGGAAGGGAAGTGCCTCACAAGAGAAACATGAGGGAGTCAGGAATCCATCAAAGCCTTTCACTGTAGGCCCCCCTCCAGCAGTCTCCCTTCCCAAGACCCTGTACAGAGTCCTCTAGGCCACTCCTACCATCAAAAGGGTTAGTTCTCCATACACATAGTCCAATTGCTTGAGCAGCCCTCACTGAACCCCCACCCCCACCCCAAATCTCTCTTGAAGAGAAGTCTGGATGAAAACCAAGGCATTGCTCGTATAGGATGGAGAGACTTAAGAAGATCCACCTACCCAGGTGTTGGGGGACCAGCCCTCCACACTGCCCGAGCCCCTCCTTTTCTTTCCTGAACCTTCCACCGGCCCCCTCCCCTGACCAGCCCTCATCCCTGGGGAGCCTTGGCTGGGGAGGGGGTGGGGCAGGCTGGATAAGACCCTAGTTTCTCCCCACCCAGAAAGACTACAGTTTGAGCCAAGCAGCAGATGTGTCAGGCACGTGGGTTCACAGACATGGCTCAAGCATCAGTTTCATCATCAGAAAGTGAGGCTCCCTGTGGCTGCTTGGCCCCAAGCAGGGGCTCACACTTTTGTTGGTGGTTTCTCTTCCGCCTTGGAACCTGGCAACCCATTCTCTGTATTGTCATTTCCTGAGGAACTCACAAGGCACTCCTTCCTGGAGAGGGAGAGAGGAGAGAAGGACACTGGCAAGAGGAAAAGCAAGAATAACAGGCAAATTGTGGAGGGGGAACCGTGGCCCCCTATGCCCAGCCCTCACCCTGGCCTTTCATAGTACTAACGTAGCCAGAGGCCAAGTCACCTAACCTCCCTGCCTCAGTTTCCTCATCTATATAATGGATATAACGATGACACCTTCTTTGTGGAGTTGCTGGGAAGAGTCCATGAGTACTTAGAACAGTGCCTGGCACATAGAAAGTACTCAATAAGCCTAGCTATCATCACCTAGTCATCTCAACACAGCAGGAGGCAAGGGTACCAGGCGCTGTTCCCAGGGGTCCGTGCTGAGGGGAAGCCAAACCAGGGTAATTCCCAGGCTGTGCCAACCCAGGGGAAGGGCCAGCGGGCAATATGCTGAAGGCGAAGGGCTCCCCACGCAGGGCCCCAGCAGGCCCTTCCTCCCTGCGCCCACTGTGACCAGCAGTAGAAGAAGGAACATGGAAGGGGCAGAGCAGACAGAGGTTCTGGCACCAACGATGGCAGGTGTGGGCAGGGAGTGGTGGGACAGGGCAGAGGCAGCAGGAAGGAGAGATGGCTAGATGGGAAGGCACCCACTTCAACGGTGGTGCCCAAGTCTCCAGGGAAGACCTGACTGCTACGTTACTCCCCGCTTTCTGCTCATGAAAACTTCCAAGGCTTTTCCACAGCTGCTGTGAAACTATACCTTAGCCTCACCCTGAGCTTGTATAGCCTGGCTTCAGGCCTTCAGGAAGGACTTAACATTTTGTCCTCATCGATTTCATCTTGTAGGATTTAGTCCATAGCTCCAGCCTATCAAGGTCCTTCTAGATCCCAATTTTGTTCTCCACCATAGTCACTACGTTCCTGGAAATTTGATAAGTATATCAGTCCTAGTGTAATTCAAATCTTAATAATAACAATTAACAAGGAGGGCCCTGTAGCATACAGCTGAAGATCTCTATTCAGATGGATCTATCTATCTATCTATCTATCTATCTTCATATCTATCATCTATCTCTCAATATCTCTCTCTCTCCACATGCACATATGCATATTTATACACACACACACACACACACACATATACAGATGTACACCGGGGGTGCCAAAAAAATGTATGCAAGTGGTCAATATTGCTCAAGCAGTAGTTCTCTGTAATCAGAAGTGTCTAGGTGATGATGGTAACCACTCTGAGCACCTCTTGTAATTGCAGAAGTCA